AAATAGATAGGTCTCAATAAATTTATTACTGAGTTTAACAAAAGTATATATTATGATGTACAATTAAGTAAGACGAGTATGTTTATGTTTTTTAATGTTAATTCTCTTCTTAACACTGATTGTTTTAATTATCATAGAAATGGTATGCATATGCGACATCCTTTATAACTTAAAATATTGGACTATCTAAAGGATTTTATTTTTAAAAAAAATTCTAACAGAGAACAAAACGATGTTACGATAGCGCCTTCCAATATTTCAAATGAAAATAATTTTTTAGGGATGTAAAAAACTCCGTTTTGCTTTTAAATTCTCAAAGCCTGCTTGCTAAATTTGAAGGAATATCAAGGACTATTTTTAGTTCGAAACCGTTAGCAGTTTGTTTGACAGAAACTAGAATAATAGCTGATATTAGGAATAACGAGATATTTATTAGTGGTTACCAAATTGTTAGATGTGATAGTCACAGCAGGCACACAGGAGGTGTTTTATTCTATGTCAGAAATGATATCCAGATTTATAAAAAGGAGGTGTTTGTGCTAGGTAAAAATTATTGGCTGTCACGTATTGACATATCAATCCAAAAAAAGTACTATACTCTTGTAGGTATTTATCATTCTCCAAGTAGTAGTGACGCAGAATTCTTAGATAGTTTCAATACCTGGTGTCTCCAAAGTTCTAACTTCTCTAAGCATACAATCATTTTGGGCGATTTTAATATTAACTGGCTGCAAGCTAATACATATAAAGTAAGATTAGAAAAAACTATGGCTGATTTAGGATTTATTCAGACAGTTGACAATATCACTCACCCTACGGACTCGGGAGGTAGTATAATTGATTTGGCGTTCTGTAACTTTGAGAGAATTGATGGTAGGGTTGATGTTATTGAAACACCGATGATAACAGATCATTATATAGTCAAAATTGGTCTACATATGCACCAGAGTAGTGATATAACGAGTGACAGGCAAATTATTTCCCGTGGTAAAATAGACTATGACGAAATGAATCGGAAACTTTCTTTAATAGAGTGGCGGTATTTGGTTGCAGGGGTGGATGACAAATACGACGAATTTTTTTCGACCATATTAAATGTTCTAAATCAAGTTGCACCCAGAAAAAATATAGTAATCAAAGCTAGATTTAAAGAGTGGTGGAATGACAGGGTAAGTGAGGCGATAAATCAAAGGGACCAAGCCTATAAATATTACAAACAAAATAGATCCGACGATAATAAAACAATTTACAAGCAACATCGAAATAGTACAAGTTACTCGCGAGGAGAAGAAGAAATATTTTGAAAATAAGATAGGCGGTTGCAAAAATAATACAAAAAGAATGTGGGAAACATTGAAACCTTTGTTATCAGAGAAAAAAGACAACAAATTCACAGAACTAGAAATAAATAATGAAATTATATCTGACCCACAACTACTATGTAATAGTCTTAATAAGTTTTATGTCAGTAGTATCAACGAAATAATATCACAGATTGATACAACCAGCACAACAACAGAATGCTCGACAGAATGTTTAAAAAAAATAGTAACACCTTCAAATCTACTAACACATTTTGTCATGATATCTTCTGTAGAATTGGAAAAAGTTGTTTTTGAATTACCCAATAAAAGTAGCCCTGATGAATTTTCAGCAGAATTTATGAAAAACATATATAAAAGTATCGAAAACCTCTCTTAAATTTAGTTAACTATTCACTTGAAACGGGTACTGTACCGTCAGCATTAAAAATTTCCACAGTTATACCTATACCAAAAGTCAATGACGTTACAACAGTAAGTGATTTAAGACCAAGGTCGAAAAAATTATCGAAAAGATTGTTTATGAGCAATTGGTTGACTAATGACTATATCTCAAAAAATAATATTTTGTACATAAACCAGTCGGGTTTTAGAAAGGCACATAGTTGCGAAACTGCTGTTCAGAATGTTTTGCATGAATGGAAGAATGAGCAAATCTAATGATTGGAGCAGTGTTTTTAGACTTTCAGCGTGCCTTTTTTTTTTTTTTTTTTTTTTTTTTTTTTTTTTTTTTTTTTTTTTTTTTTTTTTTTTTTTTTTCTGCTTTCTTGTCAGAAACCACCACTGTGGTTTGTCGACAAAGCCTCCAACATCACACACAAACCAAATCAAACAAACAAACAAACATCCATGCACCTAGCCGGGATTCGAACCCGAGACCCACTGCATGCAAAGCGAAAACACAACCGCTGAGCTGCTTAACACAACCGCTGAGCTGCTTTGAGACGATTGATAGGGATAAGTTGGTGAACAAGTTAGAAAAGTACGGTGTTAGCGGCCTAGCTTTGGAATGGCTCTGTAACTACTTACATAATAGAAAGCAAGTTACTCGTGTTAATAAAACAACCTCCTTAGAGATTTTAAATAATAAGGGCGTTCCACAAGGGAGTACCCTAGGACCACTACTATTCCTGTTATACATTAACGATATTGCTTCTACAGTTAAAAGCTGCAAAATCCATCTGTTTGCTGATGACACCTTAATGTATTTCTGTTCAGATAATTTAAAAAACCTAATTGACACCATCAACACAGAACTGCAAAATATACTACTGTGGTGCAATGGAAATCTACTTAGATTAAATGCAGCAAAAACTAAATGTATGCTTGTTGGTAATAACCAACAGTATAATATGTTTAAGTTACAGTATAAAATAGTGATCGCCAATACTGAAATAGAAATTGTTGATAAAATAAAGTATCTTGGAGTTATAATAGACAGGAAGTTAACATTTAAGGAACATGTGTCATACATAGGTGATAAAAGGTTCGTTCCAACCCAGCCAAAAACCGTTCAATGTACGGTCACGGTCATGCGCCATAGGTTAAACGCGTTTCAACCGAGAGACGATCGTTTACCGTACAGTTTCGTTGGCGTTCCAACCAAACCTGGGATCGTTCGAGAACTGGTTTTAGCACCGTCATTTCGATCCCGAGTGGAAAGCAAGAACCGCGTGGACTGATCCATGACTGACATGCGTAATTCAATTTTTGTCACCTGTAGTTAAACAACCAATTTCCAATCTTACCTATGAAACTGTAGCATTTTTATTTTTTCAAGTGAAAAAAAGTACAAAATTTATTATCAGCTATTTGCTGGTCCTTGATGTTATCAGCTTGCAAGGATTCAGTTTCAGATTCTTGATAATGCATCAGGGTTGGTGTTCGATTTTCCTTTTTATATTATATTATTCTGTAATCGTTTATTCTTCTATTTTAATTTGCAAACAAACAAATTTAGGGTTAAAGTTATTTGAACTGTTAAACGTCATTACGAAAACGGTCATGAAACCGTTCCAACTACCCGTTGTTTCTGTACCAAGATAGAACCGTGCAAGGTCAACGCATGCGCCTGCAATCGATCCTAACAGTTCCGAAACCGTTTCATGACGATACGAAAACGGGGGGTTGGAACGAACCTAAAATCTCCAGAAACACCAACTTTTTTGTTAGAATTGCTCTATCTTTAACCAAGTGGTCTCGGAAAGTGGTATATAATGTACTGATTTTGCCTCATCTTACATTTGCGTCTACCATCCTGTTTACGGCAAATAAAAATGGAAAAGACAGATTGCAGAAATTACAAAACAAGGCCATGCGAATAATTTTGCGTGTACCTAGGGACACATCAATTAGACGCATGCTTCACTCATTAAATTGGCTGTCAGTGGAACAGTATTTGGAATACCAAACTATGATTCTCATACATAAAATGAGAAATTCTTTAGCTCCATCGTATTTGTCCTCCAAACTTGTATACAATAACAACGTCCACAATTATAATACACGGTCACAGAATAATTTGCATGTGACCAAAAAAAATAAAAAGGCTACAGAAAGGGCACTATTTCATAATGGTTTAATATTATATAATAAATTGCCTGATTCAATAAAAAGATGCGGTACTGTAATTGCCTTTAAAAATAACCTTAGGAAAAGACTATTTGACGAGTCTCACTAGGTAGACAATAATTATCATGTCCTAATGATCAAATTTATGTATGTGAGTTGTTTTTTTTTATATTTATTTTTGTTTGTTTTTTATACAAGATGTGTTAATTTTAATTTTACAATTATTGTGTAGTACCTAACCTAAGTAATAAGAATTGCAATTTTTATAGTGTATGTATATTTTGCATGTCTGTAAATTTTGTGAATTAGCCGTTTTTTGCTAAATAAAGATCTATTATTATTATTATTATTATTAAATATGGGTTTACAGCTATCGTTTCGTTCTGGTACATAGCAAAGATTTTCTAAGGGGCGACTCCGGGGGCTAGACGGTTGAAAGGAATTTTGCATAAAAACTCATTCCCCTTCAAATTATAGTTGATGTGTTTTAGGAATTTTTTTGGAAAATTTTCAACTTCGAGATAATAGAGGTGGTAAGGGATACCCAAATAATGTACAACCAACTGTCTAGTGAAAATTGGTCCTTTTTGGGTGACAGTGATATCCTGAGGAGAACTGCTCTCGATTCCTGGACAGATTTCTGGAATGCAGGGATGCGGCATTTCCATTGGTTGATAGGCATACATGGGATGAAAGTGGGGATTGCATAGAATGGTTCAATGAAGATATCTGCTCCCTATACGCCTACAGCTACACCCAGCAAATAAGATGTGCTCGAAATCTGACAACAATATCTTCAAAGTGGAGAGAGTCTCATTAAAAAAACAGTTACCGAGCGAAGATAAATGAGGTAAAAAAAGGCTTATTCGGATTAGATAAAAAACTCGTATAATGTATCAAAATCATCTTGGAACCATTGGAACCTCTTTAAAAAATACACTGAAACGAACAAACGTAAACCAATAATTTTCAGATGCTGACCTTCAAGTCAGCCCCTCGTCCTTTTTCTCCTATAACTTTGCTATCGGAACGACACGGACACGGTTCCGATGGAGACAGAGCTCAGTAGTGAATTGTGCGGTAACTATTGAAAAGTGGAATTCTTACATGTTTTTTATCACTATCAATCGTTGGTCCATCTTTTTCGATTTCAAAAGCAAAATAAAAGGTAGAAACTGCTAAAATCACTAAACACATTAGAAAGACCACTACAGGGGGCCTGTTTTTGATAAAATCACTCAGGTTTTGTACTGGGGAAGACACCATGATTTTTTTTTTAAGGATTAAGAAGGATTAGTAGGAACATCATAATAAATATTAGGTATCACCTTTTTGTCGCCATATCAAAAAGCAAAATCAAAATAAATAAACAAAAAAATGTAAAGTTGCAGGGTTGTAGGTTAGAATCCTGTCTCTGTCAAATGTGGGGTGTGTACCGTTATCAACTGTCAGTACTGAATTTCACTAGACGCCGTTCCGATATTTTTTTAAGGCAGGTTTTTCAATAGCCAAGAATCGTAAAACTACAGTGGCTAAATAAACCTTTACATACAGTGGCGACAATAGAGGTCCCGCCGCCATCTTGTTCCCAACCTCTTGTTACTTTTAAATATTAATATATAGGATTCAAATGGACATCTATCATAAAAAATTGAAATCGACGTATTTGATGACCATTATTAGGTCTATCAAATACGTTATTTTCCATGATTTATGATGGATGTTCACCTAAATCCCATATATTCATATTAAAAAGTAACAAGGGGTTGGGAACAAGATGGCGGTGTTTTCAATATAATATATGGGATTTTAGAACCAATCAAAAATGAGACAGCAATTGTCGCCACTGTGGGTTATAGAGTCACTGTACGTAAAACATTGCAAGCTGGGTTCGGCTATTCAGCGCGGAGTTGGAGTGGAGTGAACAGAGCTAATGGAGTCACCCCTAATACGGTAAAAAACAATACCCGAACGGCTGGAGTGCGAATGGAGTCACTCGGAGTGAGCAAGCCGAACCCACTTACTACTGGCCACGTTTACTCTGGAGTTAAAACCAACCCGGAGGTGAGAGGTGACTCGCTACTAAAGCCGCTTTCCAGCTGTGTGCTTCAAGCATGGTGCAGCACAGTGTTCTGTGTTTGAAACGCAAAAGTTAGCAGCTCTCGTAGCGCAGTACGGCTGGAACACGAACAGGCGCTTGAAGCATTTGCGTGCGCAAAAGCTCGATTACGTTCTCAAAGGCGTCAGCTGGAAAGCGGCTTAAGAAACCGACCCTGGTCCACTGATTCACTAGAGAATCAAGGTTGTTTCTTTTGCCTGATAACTTGTATGACGTCATCAGTATGCCTCAACATAATGCAAATCTCCATAAGGCACTCCGCAGATGCGTTATCAAGTTACCCACTACCAGACAACCTATGAACTTCAGGCTTCTGGAACCTTGGTACAGAATGACGTCTTGAATGCGCCAGTGAGGTCAACAAGAGAATTATGGCACTTTCCAAATAGTGATCGATTTTATTACTGATCGGCCTTATTTAATTACCGACAGTCATTGATGGTGTTTATTTACTTGGAGCTGCTACCTAAAATCTGTGGTCTATTTGCAAGAGAGAGAAACAAACTATTGAGGTGTACTAAAATTATGTTTTATTATACATAAAACCCAAAAATTTAAATCAGCAAAATATCTTCCAACTCTGACAGCCTCATCTATTTCTATAAATTCAATTAATTCACATCCGTTCTAAAATTGTTATTATTACGTACCACTGAAATATCCCTACTAAATAAGAAACGCCCTATTCCTACTATTCCTAATAACTTATAAGTTAACTCATTTCAACACTTCCGATTCATTCCTAATAAACTACCCTTCACCTAATTATGTAAATTCTTTAAACTTTCTAAGTCCTTTAGTGACTGCTTATGAAAAACCCAAAATAATTACCTATTTGTTTATTAATATAGCTATTACTAATTTATTTTTATAAAACCATACAATAATTTCTACTTGAAAAATAAAACCCTAATTCAAAATTCATTTCATGAACAGCAACTTATTTAATTTTAATTTATTTAATTAGAACAAATTCTATTATAAGTTTCCTTTAACAACTTTCCATTATTTTAAGACAACAATTCTATTTCATGTACATCAGTTTTCCTTTCAATATTTCCTATTCCATTTGATAGTTTATTTAATCAGAACAAATTCTATTTTCGGATTCCTATGCCTAGCTAATAAATTCAACTGTTTAATTCATAATTCAAACTCAAAATTGTATATTGTTAAATGCATTATAAGTTCCCTTCATATTTTCTTTGCACAATTAAATTAGAATGTCATTACAGCTGAAGGCAATTAAAGTTATGCAATAATGTTCTATTGATATTTCACTTTATAATCATTCATCTTTTATAAAGTCAAAAGTTTACTAGGAAAATCACTCAAGCTTTTAGGCATTGAAAGTTATCTGTTAATTTCACTTCTTATCATTCAGAATCATGAATAAAAATCAGAAAGTTTTACTAGTCAAAATCACTCAAGTTTTAGGCATTAAAATTCGAAGTTTAATCACACAAAGTCGTGTTCATCATTTATATTCAAAATAAATCTTGTCACTATAGAGTACTTACATTTTGTCCATAAAACACAAAACTAATCTAATTTAATTCTTTTGGTTACTTAGAGCCCGCACATAATTGTTGGCGAATTTAATTGTTCTTTCTTTCAAAATTTTTTCGCTACTTTTTCAAAGACTGTTACCGAGGCAATACCAGTGGCGGTCCATACATGATTTTCTGGTGGGGGGGGGGGGGTACTGAATGACGGGAAAATCATCAAGTGTCGCAACGTGCGAATTTTTTTTTGGGGGCCACGCCCAAATTTGCACCCGAAAGTCGTTTAAAAAACACGCTTCGGGCAAAAATGTATCCCGATGCCGTCAAAATAGTAATACAGGGTGTCCACTTAGTGCGATATCGGACGATATCTTCTTACAGGGTTATGCAAGAGAAAAAAATAAAAATTATTCAAAGTTGTTCGATTCTCTAAGGTGCATTAGTACCTAAAAATATTTTTAAATATACAGGGTGCTTTGTAAATGGGGTATGCAACAAATCTTTGTTATTTTTAAATGGAACAACCTCTATTTTAGTACATTATATCGTTCTAAAAATCCTACGTACTTTTTGTTGGAAATCATCTATACCAAAACTCAACCGTTTTTAAAATACCCACATAGCATTGAAAGAACATTCACATGCTGAGCATATGCGCTCAGTGTTCCTTAAATGACATTCTTTGAGATATATGCTTAGCATGTGCTTACTATATATATTTTAGGAATGTTCTTTTCAGTAAATGTATAGCATATGATAAGTATATACCAATTGAAATATTCCTTAGCGCACATGCTGAGCATATTCGGGAAAGGAACATAAAAAGTACACTTACTTCAAGTATATTCGAAGTATATGCCAGGTACATCATAAAAAGCATATTTTAAATAAAACAAAAATTAGATATTATCCCATCGAAAACTGAAATAAGTAATTATTTCAATAGATTTCATGAAAATGTAAGTTATAATTCTTATCATATTAATATGAATTTTAAAAGTACAGATATTCTCTCGAGTACATTCGTAACATGTGTTAAGAATATTCTAAAAGTGTATTCTCTCCAACACACTTGCCGCGTCAATTCGTGCAGGTGCAAACAGCGCTTATAAAATTTATTGAATGATGAGAAATCCTCGATTTTTAATTTAATAAGGAGAAATGCCTCGCTAGACTCAGATATATTTTAATCTCATAATAAAATACCATTCGCGGATATTGGAACATAGGCTACGTTCGAGTTTCCAATCGCTGTCAACTGTCACGCTGCACTCGCGCTTTTTTCTTCTCAGTTGCCAATCTAACCTATACAGGCTCTTCATTTCACATCAAACATTTTCATTTTAAGGTGGGTTTAGCCAACTGTTAATGGATAATGCACAATTTTAATTCATAATTGATAATGCGTAATTCATAACGCGTAATGCATAAGAGAAAGGTGGTGTTTATACAACGCATAATTTTTGTGCATTAAGGGGGCAACATCGCTCCCATACACACACACGATACAAATTAGATTTTTAGTTATAAAAAAAATTATAGATGGCGCCAAGATTTGAAATAATAGCGATTTCAATTTGCAGAATCAGTGCAACTTTTTTCACTAAGTTCGCACTGATTGACTAATGGGAATTGCTCGGGAAATTGCCATTATTATTTCGCCTGGCCCAACCAAACTTGATATACTTATTTTTCCTATTTTACTTTATTAATTCAAATTCAAATTCAAATTTATTTTCATGCTTTACAATACATAATTGTTTGCACACGTCAACAGGAAAAAATAAATTTTATGATTAGTTATTTCTAACAGACATTTAAAATCACAGCAATTGACGTTTTTAATTAAAAGAGATGGATGATAAGTATGAAAACATTCATTTTCCCGCCAAAATTTGCTTGCTTGTCAATGTCAATGTGTATTGGGTGTTTAGCAATCCGCTCATTTTTATGTGAATCGGTGACTTCACCAATGAGTTAGCTATCTTTGTTAAGTGAATGGAAAATGACAATGACCGACATAGAATGATGGATCCATCGGTAAAATTTGATAATAAAAACGCAGAGTTTGAAATTGGGACGAAAATGTAGGAAAAGTTACTGCTTCATTCGTAGAACTTCGCTATGGAGCCGGTGGTGGATTATTTTGGAAGCAAACAGTTTCTGCAAACTAAACTTGAACGAGGATTACTTTGTATACTTGATGGGCCGTGGATTTCCCTTTCTTTTGCGAGTATCCTTTCTGCATTCTGATTTTGTGTATCCAAGTTTTGAAAAATGTAGGATTTGATGGAAACTTATGGAAAAACACGTCCGCCGGTGAATAGAAATAAATAGGAATTAGTTTTATGGATAGGCACACTACACACAATCACCATTGTTAAGAAAAAACCTTGAAAAACACGAGAAAATAATAGTTCATTTCAAAAGTCTTGTCTACAAACCACTGTCAACGGCTGTCAACCATTGTTTTCATACTCTTTTGGCGTCTGACAGTTTGATGCCAGAGAGAGAGGCTTTTAAATTGAAAAGGTCAATTAATTTTTCAAATCACTTATAAGTACTAATATTTCAATTTAGATTTAAGATTCATTAGTTTAAAACGAGGTTTAAAATTTAAAATAGTCATTTACAAAGAGCAT